TGCTGGGGGATTGAACCGCGGTCCCTGATGCTTTTGCTAAGCTTGTTCTAAGTAGGTGCTTTAGACCACTGAGCCATCTCTCCAGCCCCTGTGTGTTCTTATTCTAGGAGACAGAACCCTGATAAGGAACTTTATTGCTGAAGTCAGTGAGGGTTTATTGAGTCCCTAGCCCCAAATACTTAAACCTCTCCAGCAACTCTTGTGAAGGTCATTGGGAGGAGACCATGGGTTGGATAGGTTGAACCAGGTGGAATGTCACAGGTCAAAGCTGTTAGGTGGCCTGTCTCTAGCTCCTTTTGTTCTAGATTCCTTCCAGATGACTTGGAGCCTGGCTCTTGCCTCTTCCTGTAGCATAAGATGTCCTTGGGAGCCTTGGTGAAGGGGGAGCCAGTGGTATGACTTTCCTCTTGCTTGGCTCCACTTGTCCCCAGATGCTGCTCCCACATTCCAAATAGCGGAATTTGTAGGTTTCCCCTTCTCAGGTCAGAGTCACTTCAGGCTGGAATGTGGGAACAGATCTACCAGAAGGTCCAGGGTGGTTGTAGCAACTCAAAGGTGGGGATACTGGTGACATTGACTGGGATGGAAATGATGGCCCATGGCAGCCCATGCTGTTCCAGAGAGCGACGGATCATGTAGCTGGTAGGGCAGGAAGAGAGGTGATCACTTTCTTGGCACCCCACCTGCCCCACTGTTTCCCACTGGGAGTTCCAGAGCCTGAGAACTTTTTTGCCTTCTAACTGGGGTACCCCAATACAAAGCCTGTGACTTGGAGGTGATGATTACCCATTATCTCCCAGTCATGACATCCCACTTAGTGCTGAGCAGCCAGAGACAAGGAACTCTTACCCATCTCGGCCAAGCAGGAAGAGGGCAGGAATGTCAGCCGTGCGCTGGGTACTGTCTTGGATCATTTCCACATAGAAGCTGTCGTTGTCAACTGCATTGTCAGAGATGATCACTGCCCGCCCACCGTGCTCCTGTATTACTCGGGTCTTGGAGAGGAAAGAGCAGCCTCTGGAAGAGGTGGTGAGACTGAAGCAAAAGAAGGGCCTAGCTACCCCTTCCCCATCCCACAACCCTAAGAGGAAGAAAGGACCATGAGGAACTTGTTATAAAGGCCCCTCAACACATAGTGAAAAACTTTGATAATTAAGGCATTTCAAGACCTTTAAAGGATGATCATTCAAAAACAACTATTTCACAGCACCACCACTAGCCATGGTCTCAGGCTGCCTTACGCTTGTGCATTCCTTACCCCCTCTCCACCAGAGCGATTTGGTCCTGAATGAAGAAGCCGTTGCTGAGTTCCCCGCAGGCCTCTGGAGGTTCAGCAGGGACAAGGTGAATCTGTTCATACCTCGTGTGCTGAAAATGTTCAGATATTTGGACAGGTGAGACACATCTGCTTAGAGACTGGGCAGATGATCTTGTTTCACTGGCTCTGTATCACAAAGGGTAAAGGAAATATGGAGTGTTGCTGAGCACTTGAGCATTTGTCATTCTCACAAAAGGCCTCTGTGACTATCAAAGCTAACTGCATTTCTGTGAAATAAGTAGGGAGCTGGTTATATACATAGGGAATGGGAGTAGGTACTCAGAGAAAGCTATGCCCTGTTTTTGCTTTTTTTTTTAAAGGCTGAGTTTCACTGTGTAATCCAGGCTGGCTTTGAACTCACTAAGTAGCCCAAGCTGACCTTAAACTTGTGGCAGTCCTGCTTGAGGCTTCCAAAATGCTAGGCCTTCAGTTGTATACCACCACACTGATGGTTTTTTCATTATTTCATGTTCCCAAAGAAGACAGCTTGTCTGTCTGTCCATGATGCCCAGGTCTAAGTATGATCAGTGGAGTAGTTGGAAGTGTTTTCTCTCTGAATTCCACTCTTGGGAGACAGAACTAGATTCTGCTTTTCCTGTTGCACTCAGCAGGGATTAGAGGGACACCATAGCTCAGTGAAGGAACCCGGGGAGGCTGAAGATCAGAGCTCAGAGATGTTGCTGAACTTACAAAGATACCACCAAAGTCCTTGGCAGGTGTGGCTGTGAAGATGTATCGAATGTCCCCAGGACTCAGCACTTGGAAATACAAATAATCATGGATGCGTAAGCCTGAAGGATAAAGAACAGATAAAGTCCCTAAGAACAAAGTGGTTTGAGTTCAAATCATGAGCTTCAACTTTTCTAGCTGTAGTCAGGTCCAGGAGCCAGATTGGATTCCCTGGGTGAGCAGGATATTTTTTCCCCTGGGGAGTTGATAGTGTTAGTAACCTATATCTGCTGCTGCAGCTGTGTTGCTGTTGCTGTTGACACAGGTGAATCAAGAAGACAGAGCTTTAGTCTGTCTTTGCTCTGAAGTGTACCTAGGGAATTTCAGGATGGACATGCAGTGTCCTAGACACAAGAAGATTCTCACTGAAACTTAGAAGTTGACTGTGGTTCACTGCCATTCCCTGAGCCCAATCACCATCATCTCTTGTCCTGATTATTTCAGCTTTTCTTTTTTTCATTTTTAGACAGTGTTTCACTATGCAGTTACAGTTGGACTCAAACTCACTTTGTAGCCCAGGCTGTCCTCAAATTGCAGTGATCCTCTTGTCTCAGCCTCCTGAGTGCTGGGATTGCAGGTGTGTCCCACCATGCCTGGCTATTGCAGCTTCTTAGTCTATCTGCCTCCATGTCCTTTTTCTTTTGAGCTTTGCTATGTTGCCCAGGTTAGTTTCCAACTCCTAAGTTTAAGCAATCCTGTCTCAGTTCCCATCTGCCTCCATTCTTGCTCCCTAAATAAAGTCCATCCTCCAAACAACAATTTAGTATCTTTTTTTTTTTTTTTTAACAACTTAGTATCTTTAGACACCTTAGTAATTACATTATGACTTCCAGGGTTTTAACATCCTTCACTAATTTCCTTTGTAAAGTCTACACTCTTTACTGTGTGGTACAAGCCTCTGCTAGATCTGACCCCTGGCCACTACTACAATCTCATCTCCCTCTTCCTGTGTTCAAATTACGCTAGCTCTTTTTAGTATTTGCATTTGTATCTTCTTGCAAGCTGTTACCTCTTTGGAAAGGATCCCTATTCACATCTCACCTTCACTTTTTTCTTTTTGGTGCTAAGCATCTTACCACTTGGCTACATCCGCATTCTACCTTCACCTATTTATTTATTTATTTATTTATTTATTTATTTATTTGGCGGAACCGGGGATTGAACTCAGGCCCTTGCGCTTGCCAGGCAAGTCCACTCCTTTTAAAAAATGTCTTGAAGGGGCCGGGGAGATGGCTCAGTGGAATAAGCGCTTCCCTGGCAAAGCACAAGGGCCTGGGTTCAATCCCCAGTTCCGCAAAAAAAAAAAAAAAATGTATTGAGACAGGGTTTCACTAAGTTGCCCAGACTGGCCTTGAACTTGTAATCCACCTTCCTTTACCTTCCAGGTAGCTGAGATTACAGGCACATGCCAGCTGCACCTTCACTTTGTGTGGCTTACTCCTAGTCATCCTTAAGGTCATAGATTTGATGTCATTTTATCAGAGAAAGATATGTCTTATGATTGCCCACTCCTTTGCCCATTTAAAACTGTATGTTGTCTCAATTGATGCTTTCAATATAATTTGTAATTATACAATATCTATAATTCTTAATGTCTGCCTCTCCAGTGGGACACGGATTATAAATTTGCATAAATTCAATGCTGAATCCCCAATGCCTAGCATAGTGGCTGGGTTATAGTGGGTGCTCAGTAAAGGTTTTGGAGTGAAAGAACAACTATATCATTTTCCACTACCATTAGCAAGAGAATTGCCAGAACTACAAGATTTTTTGGTAGTATAAGAATTTCTTTTCAGCGTCAGAGTTTAATGTTTGTTTTTTGTTTTGGTTTTTGTGGAACCAGGGATTGAACTCAGGCCCTTGCACTTGCCAGGCAAGTGCTTATTCCACTGAGCCATCTCCCCAGCCCCAGAGTTTAATGTTTTAACCTGGGGACTTGACTCTCCAGATTCCTTAGTGCTAAGAATGATTGATGAATGCTCAAAGAAGCTAGGGCCACAGCTGTGGCCACTAGGCAACCGGTCACTATGATCCAGCTGTTCTTGCCCAAATCACAGCCACCAGACAGAGCTTCATGGGCTTGGCACTGGGTTATATGGCCTTTGTTCTAGGAATGACAGAGTCCCCATCAGATTCACATGCACCTCTCAGGAAGGCTTACCAGATTGGTGTTAAAACAACCCCTTTTCCACCCACACCGTTGCTTGGCTTTTGCATATCCTTATCTGTGTGTAAATTGTAGGTATATATGTATGTGCTCATATATGTGTGTAGGTGTATACGCTTATGTCCTTGTGAAGGCGCAAGCGAGTTGTGTACATGCTTCTGCGTGTGAGCCCACGTGTAGAGGAATTCGTGCTGTATACGCATGCGAATGCTCACATGTGCACATGTGTCTCCAGCTTTTATTTCCAGCTGTCCCTGTATCTCATTCTGGTTGTGTCTTAGATCACCTGGGTTAGTTTTAGTTGAAGGGGGTTGGTGGGACCTACTTCGAACTGGGGAGCGGAGGACTCAATCTAGGTTCAGTCTGCACCTAGTTCAATGTCCCTAAGGGCCAGCACCCACTCATTCCGGCCACCCGTCCCTATACCTACTCGTCTCCGAACTCGTGGGGTCCCCAAGGTGACCCGTGGCCCCCGGCCCCGAGACGTGTGCAAGCTGGACAACCAGCCCCGCCCCGCAGCGCAGCCCCGCCCGTTGCAGCTCACCGTGGGCCGCGACGTACGCGGGCAGCCAGAACACCAGAAACCACCGGCCCGCAGCGCCGGGGACCATCTCCAGGGCCGGGCCCCGCGCTGCGCTTCGCTTTCTTCTGCTGTCCAGCGGCCCGTAGCTCGCTGGACTTTAGCCTGACAGCTGCTCCGGTCTCCCGCCCCCAGACCCGCTCTCCTCTCTGGTTGGTGGACGAAAACGAGGTCCACAGATGATTGGCCTTCACTCCTGCTCATTTTCCGCCTCTACGCCCTAGCCCACTTTCTATTGGCCAAGAGAAGTGGGGCCAATGGATGATTGGCCTAAACTCAAAGCAGCTGCTGGCTCTCACCCCCGCCCCTCCCCTTGTTTCTTAGTATAGACTCAACTCCTCAGGACGTGGTTGGCAGTGGGCGGGCCAAGGAGGATGGGTATAAGTAGGAGGTTTATAGGAGCTCTTCAGCTACGGAAAGTCCTGGCCTGCGGCTCTTGGTTGGGTCAACTTCACTCAATGGTCACTCTCCTTCCCCCGGGGGTTCCCGTCCGTCCCCAACCCCTCCTGGGGGATGGGATTAGTATAGAGCCCAGGCGGTCCTCGATCCAGTTCCATCACCACTTGAGCGCTCACAGTTGGCAAATTATGATGCACCTCACCTGCGAGGAGGCGCTGACTGCGCGCAACCTGACAGCCGGCTCTGGAGCCAGTTTCCCACGCCCGTTTCGCTCCCACTTGCTGTGCCTCCAAGTGACTGTGGACACCTTTCTTAACCTCTCGGCCACCTCTGTATTATATGCACAATAACAGTACCAATGCGCTAGGGTTGTTAAGAGTTAAAGGAGATCACTCACATAAGATGTTTGCTTAGTTTATTGTGAACCTATCCCACAGTAGGCGTTCAATAAATGTTTGCTTTTGTTGCATGTCTTGGTCTGGTGTCCAAAGGGGGAAGGGAACCGAGCAAGGATGCTACATAATCAAAGAGAAAGGAGCACACCCGTAATTCAGCCTCAACACATCGACTTGAGCTAGAACTCGAGGCCCAGCCTCCCGGCCCTTCTAGCCACAGCAACTCTTTGGTAGCAAACCATAGAGTGGCGGAAGTGGCTCTCGCGCCTTCCTCTTTTGACGAAGCTTCTAGGAACTTCTTTGGCGCGGAGCATTGTGGGCTATCTGGGCGGCCGGAACACGGAGAACGGAGTAGCGAGCCCCTGAAGAAGTTGCCAAAATGATGGTGAGTGGCGTCCCGCGCATCCATCGCCATCCACTGCCATCTGGTCGATAGACAGCGCTACCCAGCCGGTGTCTGTTCTCTAGGCCCCTTTTCCGTCATCTGCCTTTGACCTTGTCCCAACTCTGCTACCTGGGAGAGATCCTGGCCAGTAGCGGCCTCCCTCAAAACAGGCATAGAGCAAGAGCCGTTAGCGATGGCTTTGTGAAATTTAAGGTTCTAGGCGGGCGGGTGACTACAGATCCCAGGGTGCTTGCGGACCTCGAACCCACGTCGCGGGTTCCTCTTTCCAGCTTCTCTGCAGTCAGGACCTGTGAAATGAGTGCGGGTTGAGCGTGCGTACACTGTCGGCAGCCAGACTGGAAATCTCGGGCTGGCTGGGAGAGCGCGGGAGGTTAAAAAAAAAAAAAAAAGGTTGCGCCTCTAGCACTCACAGCCATGAGGACCTTGTGTTACGCCCAGTTCAGCCTCTTAGTGTGGTTGCTTGCTGTTGTCTAGCCTGCCTGCTGTTGCGTGCGTGGAAGTAGACTACGTTTGTTCGTGAATCCACACACTCACGCAGACAGTAACTAGTATATATGTGCTTGCCCTTTGAATGTACCAGGCCAGCTGGTTGCTGGAGGTGCGGACTCTCGGACAGGAGAATTGGCAAGGCTGGTGGGGACATGCTGTCAGAGGTGGGAAGACCGGGACCGGCCTTGTGACTAGACAGGACTTCTAGTTAGTTGGCCACCTAACTCAGGCTTTCATTTTCAGAGAATTGTGTGTGTGCAGGTAATGTCGGTGTTGAAGCCTAAGCTTTCTGTAACCTTATCAAACCCAATTTATCTGCTCCTAAGAGCTTCAGATGCCTTCTGTGGATCTCAAACTTCTGTGCTGTCGCCTGAGTCCTTACCAAAACAGGGCTAGATTCTAAGGGAGTGTTTGATGGCAGAGTCCTGTGCATTGGTGGTTCACTTACTCATTTGGGGTTGTGGGTTGTCGTTAAAACAGCTTTTTAGTTCAGGCTGGCCTTGAACTCACTGTATGTAGCCTAGACTGGCTTCAAACTCGCAGCTAATCTCCTTCATATTCCCAAGTACTAGGGTTACAGGCGTGTGCCAGCATACTCGACTCACTTTGGTTTAATAATTCCACCCAGAGGGCTGGCCAGATAGCTCAGCCCCTGCTTGGAGGTGGGGGAGAACCATCACTGAGATGGTGATGGAGAGTGGGCGTGGTGGTGCATGCCTGTAATCCCAGCTCTTGGGAGGCTGAAAACAGGAGGATCACTATGAGTCTGATCTGTGTAGTGAGACCCTGTAGACCCTGTACTAAATACATTAAAAAAAAAAAAATTTCCACATGGTATTCTGTTACCTGCCCTTCCTTCCTGCAGCTTCTTGTCCTGTTAGACTTTAGACTGACACCTGTTAGGTGTTCCTTCAGCTACTGTCTTGTGAATCCAGCTGGTACTCAATCAAAGTGTAGGAAACTTATTCAGAAACATCTGTCTGTACATCTCCCTTAATGCCATTCTTTTCTGTTTCAATTTCTGTGCAACATTGCCTATTTTTGTTTGGTCTTCTTTCTTTGTTGTTTTTTTTTTTTCCTCCTTTCTTTTTGAAACAGGTTCTCACTAGTAGTAGGCTGGCCTGGCCTTAAACTCCTGGTGTGCCCAGGTTGACCTCAAACTTGTGATCTTCCTGCCTCAGCCTTTTGAGTGCTGGGATTACAGGTGGGTGCCACCACACCATGTAACATTACCAATGCTTCTTAGTCAATGTGCAGAGGCAGTACAAACAGTGTAGCTGTCAAGATAAAGGATGGGAAGAAAAAGATGAAGGACGAATCAATGACTGTAATACTCAGCTCTGCCATATATAGCTGTGTGACTCTGAGCATGTTATCTAATTTCTGGTTGTAGGAATCTGTTGAACTCTTGTTATACCTGGGGAGGGACCCTCAGTGAAAATAAGGAAAAGAAGGACAAGAGACAGTAGCTGGGTTGGATGGAGGTGCTCTCTCGAACAAAGGAGAAGAACCTGCCCAAGAACTGTAGAGCATTTGTTTATACCCTCAAGAGGTTGATGACAGTTTCACCCTCTATCCAGCAAACAGTTTACTAGCTCCAGCAGCTTGTTACGTACCTTGAAGAGCTCATGTGTAATTACTTTCCAGCTTCAGATGCTCCGAACACTGGTGACACCAGAAGGTGAGCTCTCAGCTCACAGATGATGGACACAAAGCTGGGTCAAGTACTGCAAGCATACATACTCCTGCACAGAAAGCTTTATGAGGGGAGCGAGAAAGGGGCTTCAGCCAAACCGGGCTTTGGTTAAAGGGAATGAGCAGGTGGTTGAGACAGTGACCAGGCTACTACTCAACAAAAGAAAGAGGAGCAGATCTGTATTGGTTTCCTGGGGTACGCTAAAGTCAGATAATTTCCATTGGCCAGGAGGGTGGTTCCAAAAAATGTATTTGTGTGTGTGTGTGTGTGTGTGTGTGTGTGTGGTGGACATGGACCCCCAGGCGTTCACAGTCTACTCTTACATGTTCCTAGAGGCTGTTGGCTCTTGTATCTGGCATCACCATCTTGCACAAAATATCTTGGCTTTGTATTTGATGGGCTAACAGGCAGTCAGCTTTGCTCAGAAGTTACTCTTAAAGTTGGTTTCAGTATTTTATATAAATGTTTATAGGGCTGCAGGACTGTTAGTGCTCGACCTGCTGAAAAAAAGCAAAAGGGGGGTAAAAAGTACCAGCTTCAGTGGGCAATAAACCACATTAGTGTGGTAGTATAGTCTCAGCAAAACATTTTGTTTTCCATGTGTATCTTACTGGGGATTAAAGCAAACCTTTGCATTGAGGTACATCCCTAGCCCTTTTAAAATTTTTTTAAAAATTTTGTTGGTACGTTTTAGATACATGCAGTGATAACATTCATCAGAGGGAATTTGTACCTCCACATGATATTTATTGCCTCTTTAAGTTTTTTTTTTAATTTTGAGACAGGGTCTCCTAATTGTCCTGGCTGGGCTTGAAATAGCCTTAGCCTCCCAGAGATGCTGAGATTATAGGTGTGTGCTATTGTCCCTGTCACATAATATTTCTTAAATGATCTGCATGTCTACATGCAGAGCTAAGTTGAATGTGACTCAAGAGTTAAGACAGTAGGGGAACAGACATAATATGAAGACAGATGGCATGCCTTTTATTTTATGGTATTGGGAACCGAACTCATGACCTCTTGCTTGCCAGGCATGCGCTGTGTCACTGAGCTACATCCCTAGCCCTATCCCATTTTAGTCATCCTGTAGGACCAAAGGAAGAGTCACTGTTTTCAGCAAAAGCAGCTTTTTTTTTTTTTTTTTTTTGAGATAGGGTCTTGTTATATAGTTGAAACTGGCTTTGAACTGGTGATTCTCCTGCCTCAGCCTCTTGAGTGGCAGGATTATAGGCATACCCCATGCCTGACTGAAAGTAGCCTTAAGTTTTTGGGAAGCTGATTAGGGGGTAGATGTATTCTAACTATGTGACTCCTACAGTTAGTGATTTTAAGTTGATTTAAGAGCAAGTGGAGCAAGGTGTAGGAATGCACGCCTGTAATCCCAGCACTTGCCTGTAATCTCAGCACTCGCGAGGCTGAGGCAGGGTGATTGCCGAGAGTTTAATGCCAACCTGGGCTATGTAGTCACTTGTAGGCCAGCCTGAACTACAAAACAAGACCCTGTCTGAAAGAAAAAAAAAGAGGAGGTGGAGAGAGTTTAGTGTTTGGGTTTTTTGTTTTTTTTTTTCCTTTCTTGAGAACATTTTCTCATTGTATGGAAACATTCTGGTTTTTGCTGTTTTATTAGAGTCTCATAACAGGTTTGTTGAAATGTGAAAATTAATACTGTAGTGCTCTGAGGAATTTATTTTGTTGTTTCAACCTTTTATCCTACACTGTTCCATCTACCATAGTGGTTCCTGTTTCACTGGTCATTAGTCACTTAGAGGTAATAGCAATAGATACTGTTTTATGTGGTTAAGTGAATTAAACGTGCAGTGTCAGGCAAGTAGTAAGCTCTCAGAAACTGTTAGCTAGGGGGTGGCTTGTCGCCTCTTCTCCCTGTAGTATGTCCTGCTGCCAAGACCACCAGAAGAGCTTTCAAAGGAACTTGCAATCGGAACAAAGTTTTTGTTTCTTTGTTTGTTTTGGTGGAACCAGGGATTGAACTCAGGCCCTTGTGCTTGCCAGGCAAGTGCTTATTCTCCTGAGCCATCTCCCTGGCCCTGCCCCCCCTTCTTTGTTTATTTTTATTTTTATTTTGTTTTTGGTGTTTTGTTTTGTTTTGTTTTTTAGAACAAAGTCTTTTGTACTGTGAAAAAAACCATTACCCACGGGCCTCGGACCACACTTGAGTTTTACCTGAACTGATGATTCCTGTTTTGTCAGACTGACTCATTTCCCAGCTGGATGTGTCTTTTGGAATGTGAAATTTCCAACAGGATTCCTCTTCTTATGAAATTGGTCTCTGGGGTTCTAGAAGCCTGCTTTGTTGAGGAGAGATAAAAAAGATCCCTGAAACAATCTTGTGACTCTGGGATAGCTTGGACATTATATGTCCCAGGCTTTGTGGTATTGAACTGTGAGTACCTTGGTATATAAACAGTTGGCCTTGTTTTATAAAACATCAAGCTTTTGAAAATTAGTTTTCAGTCAGGATCTCAGTTTAGGCTCTCCTGCCTCAGCTTCTCAAGTGCTGTGATTGTAGGAGAATGAAGAGGGAAGTCATTAAGATAAAACTACAGGGTCTTTCATAATTCCCATGGCAAAATACCAAGGCATAAAAATGAGAGAATTTGAAAGTAATACTAGGAGGGGCTGGGAGTTTGATTCCCCAGCCTGCTGTGCCAACCAGCCGCCCCCTAGGGCACGCTGAGATGGCAGTTGAGACGGGGCATGGTGCGTGTGCTTGTGATCCCAGCATTTGAGAGGCTGTAAACAGGAGGATCACTGCGAGTCTGAGCTACACAGTGAGACGCTGTACACCCTGTAGATCCTGTCCTAAATACAAAAAAAAAAAAAAAATTAGGGACAAAAGGTGGGTTTGCCATAGCAATGAGACATAATGAGAGAGAACCCGTCATCCTTGGGCCAGCTTAGCTTATGCCAGCTCTGCTGGCTCTTCTGTCCCTATGGGATCTTTCCATTTCCCAGTTTTCCATCTCTATAGGTCCTCCAAAGCATAGGGAACTTGGGGACTGTAGTCAGCTGCTTTGAAATCCTGTCTTTGTGTTTAAGTATTCTCAGGAAATTGAGGGCTACCCTACTGCCATTTTTTGTTGTTGTTGTTGTTTTTTAAAGCCTAGAAACTAGTGCTTATTATTTCATGGGTTATATCAGGCAGTCCCAGGTAATAGTTGAATTTTCAGTACCAAAAGTTACTTAATAATTTTTCATTTGTGGCTGGATATACAACTAATTTGTGTGTGTGTGTGTGTGTGTGTGTGTGTATGTGTGTGTATTTAGTACAGGGTCTCACTACACAGATTGGATTTACAGTGATCCTTCCTGTTTTTCAGCCTCCCAAGCACTGGGATTACAGGCATGCATGACCATACCCAGTTTCTTTCTTTCTTTTTTTTTTTTAAATATATTTATTTATTTTTATTACATTTATTTATTGTGTGTGTGTGTGGCCAGCTCAGCCCACCAGGGGGCGGGGCTGGCTGGCATGTGGTGCTGGGGATCGAACCGCGGTCCCTGTGCTTTGCCAAGCTTGTTTCAAGTAGGTGCTTTAGACCACTGAGCCATCTCTCCAGCCCCACACACCCAGTTTCAATTGCCCTCTCAGCACACCCCCTGGGGTAGGGCCAGCATGGCAGGCCAGGAATCGAAGTCCTGTCCCCTGCATCTGCCTAAGTGGGTGCTTTAATCCACTGAGCTATCTGGCTGGCCCCCACAATCTGTTTGAATCATTCTTACTTGGGAAGATGGATGACAATTTAAAAAAAGTGGTGGGCTGGGGGGAATTGAGTTATGGGGTTTCCAAATGCCTCTGTTTACTGTTACAGAGAAAAGTTTTGGAAAAATCAGGGGATTGGGTTGCTGGCCTAGTAGTAAGAAAGTGGTTTTGTAGATGGGTAGTAAAAATGAGAATACTTTTACAGAAGCATTGTAGTATTAGCCCATTGAAGAGATGAAAGAACTATTTAAAGGTGTTAAGAAAAATACTTGATTGAAATTGGATTTCTGTTTTGTTTTTTAGTTTTTAAAGGCAGGGTCTTGCCATATGGTCCTCTGTTTCAGTTCACTATGCAGCCCGGGCTGGCATTCAACTCAGCGTGGTCTTGGGAGTACAGGAGTGTGCCGCCATGCTCAGCTTGTTATTTATTTATTTTTTAATGTAGTTGGGATAGGGTCTCACTACACAGCTCAGACTTGCAGTGATCCTCCTATTTTCAGCCTTCCTGGTACTGGGATTATAGACATGGACCACCACACCCAGAGTTGGTGGCTGGCTCTGCGTGCCTGATAGTGGGGCCACCACAGGCGGGGCCGGCACAGCATGTGATGCCTGGAATTGAACTGGGTCCCTGCACTTGCCTAAATAGGTGCTTAGTCCACCGAGCTATCTTGCTGGCCCTTCAGTTTCGTTTTTAATTTTGCAGCGTAAATTTCCAACCAAGGCACAGATGGACAACAGGAAGTTTAAGAGTGTACCAAGGAATGATTTAACAGGAGTAAGAAAAGGTGGGGCCTTTTAGGAGATAAATCTTCCCCTTACTCAAGACTCCAGGGCCCAGGCCTTCTGAAGGGCCCAAAAGAATGCTGTCTGACCTAGGACATTCCAAAAAAGGAAAGAAATTTCTCTGTAGTTCTGTACCTGATCCGAGATTCAAGGATCACTATTAGTCCTATCTGTGTAGTGAGACCCTGTACTAAATACATTTAAAAAAAAAACGGGGGCTGGGGAGATGGCTCAGTAGAATAAACGCTTCCCTGGCAAGCGCAGAGGCCCGAGTTCAATCCCCGGTTCCCCCCCCAAAAAACAAAAACACATTAGTTTGTATATCCAGCCACAAAGGAAGAATTATTAAGTAACTTTTGGTACTGAAAATTCAACTGTTACTGGCACTGCCTGATATAACCCATGAAATAATAATGTTAATTATCTGACAAGCATTCTTTAGAAGAAAGAAGATAGCTCAGTTGACTAAAATGCCTGCTTAGGCAAAGCACAGGGACCAGGTTTGATCCCCAGCATCACATGCCGTGACAGGCCTGCCCCTGGGGCACAGCAGATTGAGACAGCGTGGTGGTGGTGTGCCTGTAATCCCAGTGCTTGGGAGGCTGAAAACAGGAAGATCACTCTTGAGTCTGATCTGTGTAGTGAAACCCTGTAGACGCTGTGCTAAATACATAAAAAGAAAAGAAAGAAAATCCAGTGATATGTACTTACTTGATAAATTTTGTTTTTAAAAAAATTTGTATTGGCACATTTTATTACAGTACATAATAATTACATTCATCATAGGGAGTGATGCACATAACACATGTTAATTTTTTTTCTCTTTGTTTTTATCTATACCCTTCTCTCTTTTGGTCTCCTTCCCTTTTTCAAAACATCTTTTGACAGGTCTTCTTTCTTAAAACAATGTGTAATGTATTAAGTTATCTGTACTCTTATTCCTTAGTTTCTCAAGCATCTTTTCAATCCCTTTTTATACACATACATATTTTACCTTGCCTGTTACCCATTTTCTACAGTGGTTTTTGTTTTGATTTTAACATAAATCACAGCAAGCCATTCTGCTAAAAACTTTTCCAGGGCTGCCCTTCTTTGTAGAAATCAAATCTAAGCTTCTTGTCCTGGCCATTCTCAGGTGTGTATGTGATCTACTATCTGCCTGTCTCTAGCTTTATTCTGATCTTCCTCTTGCTCATTCCTCTTCAGCTATATTGGCCAAAGAGGTTGGATTTTTAAAGGAATTACTCAGTGAATATACGAGGCTCTTGTCTTTTTTTTTTTTTTTTTTTTTCCTGGAATGTGAGTTCCTCACTCCTTATTATTAAGCTGGGACTGCCCTGTGCTTTCTTGTGCCTTGCTCAATAACTGAAGCACCCGTAGGGATGGACAAGGCCAGTGGCCTTAACACTTTCATTGCACACCACAGTAAGAAATAATTTGCATTACAGCCACTAGCACACATATAACTGACAGTGTGTTTAAATAGTATTTTCCCCTTACTACATTTTGTTTCACACAAAATTAATTAGACAAGATCCTGGGAGATAGCTCAGTGGTATAAGCACCTGTCTGGCAAGTTCAGTGACCTAAGTTTGATCCCTAGTACCTCAGAAAATAACATTGTTAGATATTGAGAAGTCAAGATAGTGCTTATCTCTGAAAGTTTGGGCTTGGTTACAGAGAGAGCTCTAATTTGCCCTGTACAGTACTGTGTGCATTGTCCTGAATGCTGAGGATATTAGCTCTTCATTGCTGGGATAAAAATACCTGACATGTACAACTTATATAGAAAGATTTATTTTTGCTCATGTTTTCAGAGGTTTCAGTCCATGTCTGCTAAGGAGGAAAGCTGCTACACCAGGTCCCAGGAAACAGAGTTTGGGAAGAGCCAGGGGAGGGGGCTAGGGAATGGAGTCCTGAGGTCACGTCCTCATGTTCCACCCAGGCCCATCCAGAAGTGTGTTTCACTGTCTAGTATTTCTGAAGCTAATCAGGCTGGTGAGATTAAACCATCATACCAAGCCTTTTCAGGCATACGTGGGAGAACCTGGGCTCAGGAGCTGGTGCCTCATAGGAAAATATGGCTTAGAAACGTAAAGTAGAACCAGCTGGAGTTCTCAGTGGTCACATCCATTGCATCATGCTGTCAAGACAGGAGTCCATGCAGCTGGTCGTGAGAAGGAAGCTGTCTAAGCAGATCCTTTTGAGCAAACTGTATTCCTAGAATTTCTGAAGTAAGTCTGCAAGTGAAGCCCTTACAGGGATAATTACCCTCTGGAGCTCAGTGCAGAAGAGAAAGAGAGACATTATTGGGAAATCTGGTTGGAGATCAGTCACAAACATGAAAGGTGGAAACATTTTGTATGGATTAGTGTTTTGGGAGGCAAGACAGGGTACAGTTTTTCTACCTGTTTTCCTGTGCTCCAGCTTGAGATAACTGCTGAGGCTGCCTGCTGGGCATCTCAGAACAGCACCTCATGCTGTCAGCATCTTGTGTAACCAGTGCCCCCCTCTGTCTCTGAGATTGAACTGCAACATAGATAGCCAGATGTTTTGCTGAGGATAAGCCTTGGGTAGGCTTGTTGCTTCTTCATGGGCTGTGACCTAAACCTCAGCACAGAGAAAAAGGTTAGAAGTTGGAAAGGCCATGTTCATTAAGCTGGGCACTGGTTAACCCATGATTTGTTTTTCTGTACTAGACTGATGTTTCCCAAACCACCGTCTGGCACACCTGCAGGATAGATTGGGGTCTGCTCTGGGATAGGGGCAGTTGAAGAATGGCTGTAGTGGACAGACAGTGGGGACTATGGTTTAGAGAGTTCCTCAGTTAATTCTGTTTTGTGCAGTTGGGAGCAATTTTCCTCCCCTTTTCCCCCTTTGAGTCTCATTGTAATAGCTTTTTAAAATTTTAAAATATTTATTAGAATATGTTGTGATAGATGGTTATTAAAAGCAGTCAATTCTACTTTCTTTTCCAGCCCACACCAGTTATACTGTTGAAAGAGGGAACTGACAGCTCCCAAGGCATCCCTCAGCTTGTGAGTAACATCAGTGCCTGCCAGGTGGTTGCCGAGGCTGTAAGAACCACTCTAGGTCCCCGTGGCATGGACAAGCTTATTGTAGATGGCCGAGGTAAGTATAGGTTTCCTCAGGCATGTATGCAGGAGACAGGTATATGGGGAGTGTTTGGGACTAGGCTCAGAAATCCACTGTTTGTGAGGTCTCTAAGGGATTACTCAATCTAAAGTGGTTCTGCTATGTGCATTGTCTGAATGCTGAGGATATTAGTTCTTCATTGCTGGGATAAAAATACCTGACACACACAACTTATATAGAAAGGTTTGTTTTCAGAGGTTTCAGTCCATGCCTGCTAAGGAGGAAAGCTGCTACACTCCTGGGTCCCAGAAAGCAGAAAGTTTGGGAAGAGCCAGGGGAGGGGGCTAGGGAATGGAGTCCTGAGGTCACGCCCTCATGTTCCACACATCCAGAAGTGTGTTTTACTGTCTAGTATTTCTGAAGTTAATCAGGCTGGCGAGAGTAAATCATCACACCAAGCCTTTTCGGGCATACATGGGAGAACCTGGGCTCAGGAGCTGGTGCCTCATGGGAAAATGTGGCTTAGAAACGTAAAGTAGAACCAGCTGGAGTTCTCAGTGGTCACATCCATTGCATCATGCTGCCAAGACAGGAGAAAACTGCCCTTTATGTTTTAGTCTGTTAATTAATATGTGTTAAGGATATCTAAGTAGTTATTTATGTCATTTACAACATTTTTCTGCATCTGACTTAATTGTACTAATGGCTGTTCAAGGGAAATCAGGAGCCCACGGCTTAAGCGCTTGTGATTTGAGCTCATTGTATGTAGAGCGGACTCTATAAAATCAGGCTAGTCTTTTTCTTTTGCATTCCTACTGTGATCCCTTCTTCCTCATCTCAGTGAAAAGTGGACTCCAAGGCCAGCTAGAAGACAGAATTTTTTTTTAAAAACATTTATTTATTTATTTATTTATTGTGTGTGTGTGTGTGGCCAGCTCAGCCCACCAGGGGGCGGGGCTGGCTGGCATGTGGTGCTGGGGGATTGAACCGCGGTCCCTGATGCTTTGCCAAGCTTGTTCCAAGTAGGTGCTTTAGACCACTGAGCCATCTCGCCAGCCCCTAGAAGACAGAATTTTTAAAAGGGACTTCAAGTTATTTTGTTTTTCTTTTAAGGCAAAGCAACAATTTCTAATGATGGGGCCACAATTTTGAAACTTCTCGATGTCGTCCATCCTGCAGCAAAGACTTTAGTGGACATCGCCAAATCTCAAGATGCTGAGGTAGGAAAGTCAGTCATACACATTAAAATGGGGGTTGAAGCAGATGCCTGTTTGCTACTTTATTCTTCACTTTTTTTTTCTAATGTCTAAAATTACTATGTGATGCATGCTTGACAAAATACTAAGAGTAATCTTTAAAAATGTTTACTATCCATTGCATGTAGTTTTATACCTATTAACATTTTAAATAGCAATGTTCTCTCGGTCAGAATCCTAAAGACTACCTAGTACTAGAGTGGTGGCATATATACGAGTTGCTGAGTAAATAATTTAATGTCTTAATCCATTAGTCAACTTGTGCAATGAGACTGGAAAAAATAGTCTGCCTGTGTGTATGTGTGATAATAGTGCAATATACAAACACATGAAACTTACCTTTTCAGGTGTACAGTTGAGTGGCAGTAGCCAATCTATTTTTTTAAACATAGTTTCTGACACTGGAATTTTAATATAGTCAGCATCAAGAGAGACAGGATTGTATTTGTAGTACTGCAGAATACTTATATTACCAGTAACGTTCTGAAATTATATTAAAAAGTTTATTAAGCTGGGAATGGTAGCATGTACTTGGAATCCCAGCACTTTTGAGGCTGAGGCAGGGGAGTCTCAGTT